ATAGGGTGAATAGATCACCATCATAGCAGGGAACATGGTGGTGGGTTGGCAGGTACGGCACTGGAGCAGTAACAAAGCTTACATAATAGGACAACTAGTAAGCATAGAATTTTGAAACCTCAAAGCCCACCTCCAAGTGAGACACCTCCTCCAAGGCCACACCTCCTAATCCTTCCCAAATAGCTCTGCCAACTAGAGAACCAAGTATTCAAATGTTATGGTGGCCATTTTCATTCAACCACATTCCACTCCCTAGCCCCCATAAGCTTGTAGCCATCTCAATGCAAAAACCTTTCTCCTTGAGCACAAGATCTGACTACAACATTAAATTTCCTTTTTTTCTTGTATTTCTTTTTGTTCTACTTGCTCTATTTCATTGTAGATTTGTGTAAGAGTGTTTGCAAATAACTTTGTCTTAGTTACTGTTGTACTGCTATAGAGACACCATGATCAAGGTAACTTCACAAAGAAATCATTTAATTGGGAGCTTGCTTTCAGTTTCAGAGGGTGAGTCTGTGACCATCATGATGGGAAGTATGGCAGCAGGGAGGCACAGCAAGGTACTGGAGCAAAAGCTGATCCACAAGATCAGAAGGCTCTCCAAGAACTCCTAATCCTTCAAGCAGTCTTTTTTTTTTTTTTTTTTTTTTTTTTTTTTGCTATAAAGGCCATTCTCATTCAAACCACATGCCTGTATGTATGTAACGTATGTGCACCAGATACATACCTGGTGCCCATGGAGATTAAAAGGGGTGGGATGGGGGCATCAGATTATCTGTAACTAGAGTTACATGTAATTGTTAACTACCAGGTGGGTGCCTGAAACTGGATCCAGTCCTCTACAAAATTAACAATTGCTCTTAACCATTGAGCAATCTCTCTAACCCCACCCTTTGGTATTCTCATACATGTATAATGTCTTTTGGTCATTTCACACACTTATTATTTTTATCTCCCAGGCCCACTGAATCCTTTCCAACAAGTCCTCCCACTTTTTTACAAGTCACCCAGTGAATTTTAAGTATGTCTTATTTCTGTGTATGTTAGTGCATGTGGATTCCCCAAAACAAAAATAGAGTTGCTTTCATGAGCATAGATAGGGGATAATTACTGAAGCACAGACAAATTACAGGTGGATACCACTGAAGAAAATGGCTTCTAGCAACCACTAATTGTCAATTGTTCTGAAGAGCCTGGGAATATGAAAAATTGTATGCCTATAGCCTGATACTGGCCTTAAAGCAAGCTACCTGACCCTTTACCATATCCCCCAGATATGGAAAGCAGTTAGAACAGACCCAGGCTATGTAAACATCTTGAACTAACACCCTGTAATCAGAGGTTGAAAATCATGACACCAAAGATGCACTCCACAGGGATACATTCTTAAGATACCCTAGGAATACATTCTTAAGATAACATAAATCTGGGTATGTACTCTCTGCCCTGTGTATAACCTTTGACTCTAAAAAGTCACTTTGACTATAAAAAGCCCCTCATCGAGTCACAGAGCCCAGTAATTCTCTGAGGCCCTACCTAGTTAGAAGTTTTGATCCACATGGTATGTTTTTTGTTTTGTTTTTTTTTTAATGAAGTTGCTTCTGGTTAATAGAATTCAGTGGCCTGCTCCCTGCTGTTTGTGCAATCCCAGGAACGAAGAGTTCTTTAGAAGGTTTTGTTCTGCATATGTTAGTCTTATCAACAGACACTGGCAGCCAGGGTTCTGTCACAATACATAGGAGCTATTCACCGAAACTCAAACTGTTATGTTGAAGGCCACTCCAGTTGTGCTCTTCTCAACTCAAGGAACTGCTCTTTGACAAAGCTGAGGAAAGTGGGTTTCTCTACTGCAGACCTCACGGCAGGACTAGAGAAAACTGACATGATTCCTCACACCCTATAGTGCCCCAATGGCCGTCACAAATATTAGCCAGTAGAGACTAGGAAGATAGCCCAACAATTAATATTACTAACTGCTCGTGCAGAGGACCTTCATTCCATCCCCAACACCCACATCAGGCAGCTCACAACTACCTGTAATACCAATTCCAGGTATCTTATATGCTCTTCTGGCCTCTTTGGGGACCTGAATGTATGTGATGTGCATAAATTCATGCAGGTACACAGATAAACATATAAGCACTAATCTTTTTAAATGAACTATTAGCAACACTAAACAATCCGTTCTCAAAATAAAACATAAGTGGCCAATACATGAAAAAAAATTCAAAATCCCAGGCTATCAGGGGAAAAAAAAAAAAAAAAAAAAAAAAAAACACCACTAAGATTCCATCTGCCCTTCTTCAGAATGATTTATGCAAAACAACAAGTCCTAGTGTGGATGAGATGGGCCAGAACCCGTCTACCCTGTTAATGAGAATGGAAATCAGTATGGAGGTTGCCCAAACAATTGAAAGCAGAACTATGATGTGGTTGAGTTGTACCATTCCTGGGTATATACTAAAGGAAACAAGTCAGCACATAATACAAATGTATGCACACCCATGTTAACAGTAACAGTATTCTAACTAGCCAAGTTTTTAAAAAAAATCAGGTTAGGTGTTCATTAATAAACAGACTGAGAGATGGCTCATAGGCTAAAATTGCTCTTCCAGGGGACCAGCGTGGTTCCCAGCACCACTGCTGGGTGGCTCAGAGCCTAAAACTACAGCTAGATGAGATCCAAAACTCTCTTCTAGCCTCCCTGGACACCCAAACACATGAAGAACACATGTGAATAATAAAATGTAGGGTAAAAAGGTGACACACACATAAAATGGAACTTTAGTCATTAAAAAAAAAAAGTCTGTAATTTGTTGGGACAGTGATGAAACTAAAATGCATAGTAAGCAAAATAAACTAAATCCAGAGTGGCAAGTATTTTCTCATGCACAGATTCAAAACAAAACTAAAATTGTAAAGACATGAAATTAGAGAAGATGAAGAAGGAGACCAACAGAAAGAAGACAATACAAGGTAAAGATGCATATGAATATGATCAAGTATACTTTATACACATCTGAATATGTCAGTGTAGCTCTGAAAATAGTATTCTTGCCTAGCATTCATAAAGTTTCAGGTTCAGTCCTCGACATCATACACTCCCTAGCAACCATAGTTGCTAGGGGTAGAGAAAGTTCAAGGTCATCCTTGACCACATATCAAGTTTGAGGACAGACTAGAATACATGAGCCCATTTCCAATACGCATGCAACACATACACACACAGGACAAAACAAACATGAAAGGAATCTAGACACTGAAACACAAAAGTGGCCAACAAGTGTATAAAAGATGGCTCAGCAGTTCAGAGCATTTACTGTTCTTACAAAGGACCCAGTTTGTCAGCACCCAAAATAATAAGCTCACAACATCCTATAACTCCAGCTTCCAGAAGATTTAACACCTTTGTCTAACTGTCTATTATGTGGGTTCTATATCACTTGTCAAAATTCTTGACAGAGACAATTTTTTGAGGGAGGAAAGACTTGAAGTCATATATTCAGAGGCAAAAATCTATCATGACAGGAAAGGCATGGTAGCTGGAGAGGTTCTGTAGCAGCAGGAGCTTGTAATGGAGACTGTTCACATCTTGGCAGATCAGAAGTAGAAAGGTGAACCAAAATGGTTGTCAGGTACAACCTTCAAAGACCCACCCTACACACAGCCTTCTAAAACAGTGACACCAGTTGGAGGAGACCACATATACAAACACATAGGCTTGTAGAGGACATTTCACTATCAAACCATACTAGTTTCCAAAAAATTATAATAATCTGGCTTCAATTATACTATACTGGCTTCTTCCAGAGGACATGGGTTCAATTCCCAGCAACTACATGGAGGATCATAACTCCAACTCCAGTCCCAGAGGACCTGATACCTTATTCTGACCTTTCTTGGACAACAAGCACATACCTAGTGCATTGAGATACATACAGGCTAAACATACATGTAAAAATAAACTTTACAGCCAAGCCAGGCAGTGGTGGTGCATGTGCCTTTAATCCCAGCACTTGGGAGGCTGAGGCAAGTGGGTCTCTAAGTTAGTGGCCAGCCTGGTCTACATAAGTGAATTCCAAGACAGCTAGAGCTACTCAGATAAACCCTGTCTCAAAAAAGAAAAAAGAAAATAAGAAAAAACAACTTTGCATTATCTCACACTGGGAATCTAAAAAATAAATTGAAGTCACAGAAGTAAGCAGTGGCTGCCAGTGGTTAAAGTTTAAGAGAAATAAGGAAATAACTATTCAAGAGTGAAGCCTTTCTGTTATCAGTAGCATCAAGACAGCATATTCGCACCACATGACAACAGTGAACAATATTGTACTACCCACTGAGAATTGGCTAAGACATTAAGTGTTGGTAAAAATGGGCTATTTTAGTTCCTGACAAATGAAAACTCTGTAAAGCCTATGATGGACTTTCCAGGTTACACGCCCAGAAAAGTCCCTGCCACATTAATCACCATTCTCTGAGATATATATAAGCATTTCCAGGGCCTATGGAACTGTTTTCTAATTTGCTAAAACATTAGGTGTTTTCATATCAAATATACAATATAACTCTGTGGGCCAGCAAGTCGGCTCAGCAGGTAAAAGAAATGTTTACCTCCAAGCCCATCCACCTGAGTTCAATTCCCAGGACCCACAAGGTGAAACAAGCCAGTTCCTGAGTTGTCCTCTGATCTCCACACACATCATGTTGCATACTCCCACTCCAAAGAATGTAATATATTTTTAAAAAACTGTCAAGTGAGGAATATTTTCATTAGTTAAGATACAGATTCAGTAAACAAAATTAGTGCCAATTCTAACTATATTCATACATACAATGCAGTATTGTATCCTTGAGGCAGAATTTAAGACCCTCTCTTAAAAACTAAATAAACTCAACCCAGCCTAAGAATTATTTTAAAAGTAAAGCTTGTAAATCTAATGTGAAATTTCTCATAATGTACCCTGTGAAGTTAAAACACAAAATATTCTCTGGCTCTTAGATAGAATGTTATGTACAGATTTATTAAATTCTCTTGGTCTCAAGTCTACTTCAAGTACAGTTTCCTTAGAGATTTTAAGACTCAATGTTATTATCAATTCAGCTAAAACAGCCTTACACTCTCATTATAATGTTATTTCTCTCTACATATATTCTAATATTTGCTTTACATATTTGGGTGCTCTATTTCTGGCATATCTTTACAACAATGGCACCCTTACAATGAAGAAACATTACCTCTTTTTCAGTCTATTTATGCCCTAACAATTAAGTCACTTGTTGGAAACACAGAAAAGTCTTTCTAAACATTATCAGCCAGGCACAGTGGGCCAATACTGAAGCCATAATACATGAGAGGTTAATGGAGGAAGATCATTAGTTTGAGGTCAGTTTGCACTACAAAGTGGATTCAAGGTCAAGCTTGAACTACACAACCAAGACTCTATCTCAAAAACAAATAATGAAAAACTTACTATTAGGACAATTTCAATCTCCTGGTCACTTCACAAAATAACTTTAAAAAGGACCGCACAAACTGTGATCAAGAATGAGTTTATCAGTGGGATGCAAAGATGGTTTATGCAATAAATAAATGTGATACACTGAATAAACAAAATGAACAAAATACTGTATTGCAGAAAACGTACAGGAACATATAACAACATATATCAACTGATGGTGACAAGTCAATAAATTAGATAGAAATCATAATGGCAGCACATTAAGAATAAATACAGTTATCTGTCAGTGTCAACCAGAACTAAACAGGAAGACTATCTCTCAAAAATTTAAATAACAACAACAACAAAAAAATCTTACTCAAACCCAGCGGTGATGGTGCACGCCTTTAATCCCAATACTTAGGAGGCACAGGCAGGGGGAATCTCTGTGAGTTCGAGCCAATCTGGAACACAGAGTGAGTTCCTGGAGATTGAAAGCTACACAGACAAAACCTGTCTCCAAAACAAAAACAAAAAAAGGCAAAAACAAAACCCTTATACAGTTAAAATAATTTCAACAATGAATTTAGAACTACAGCTTGAGGATAGAGCACATGACTAGCATTCCTAGCACCAAAACACAAATGCTTAAAACCAAATTTTCAACAAAATTATCATAACATAAACAAACTGACAAAATGGATATGCAAGCAGAATACGTGCACCATTAATTATGGGTGTGTGTGTGTGTGTGTGTGTGTGTGTGTGTGTGTGTGTGTACATATATAAACTCGGAGGTCAAGGAAAAAAGGAAATAAAATTAAATAATAGCAAAAGAAACAGTTAAGTTGGGTAAGCTGATTCATACCCAAAATCTCAGCACTCAGGAGGCCAGGGGAAGAAATATTGCTACAAGTTTAAGGCCAGCCTGGTCTACACAGTGAGTTCCATGCTTCTAATCTAATCTAAACATAGTGAGATCACCTTCAACAAACAAAACCCTGAAAACAAAATCTAAAACTATAACACAACACAACTCTAAAAAGAATGCTTCCTGACAGACCAGCAAAGAATTCTGAAGCTGACATGAAAAGCACAGGCATAAAAAAACAAATGTAAAGAATTAGGGTAACATCAAACTGATTTTTCAAAGCAGAACAGAAAACAAATCTGAAAAGGCATGTATCTGCAGATAGAAAAGTATCTGCAAACTATGTATATTACAGTGGGTCTATGTCTCAAACATAGTAACTCAGGTAATGTCACAGTAAAACACAGGCATTGATTTAAAAATTGATAACTGAAATTAATATTTCATCAAAGACATACAAATGGCTTACAAATTAGAAAAATGCATATGAAAACTATGAAGATAACATCTTACATTTTAAAATGGCCCTCAGAAAGAAAAAAAGTGAAAAGATAAGCAATAAAAAGACTATGTACATCACTGGGAACATAATCAATAGTTATTACAGAATAGTACAAACAAACTAAATTAAAAGTACATCTATCATTACTATAAACAAACCCACTTTGGAGACTCTGAGAACATAAGATCATTAATTTAAAGAGACAGCTACACTAACATTCAATGTAGCAATACTCCCAATAGCCAAGGTATGGAAACTAAGTATCCATAGATATACCAAAGGTTAATTAAACATCTTAAAACAAAATAATTGACTATAACACAGCACATAATGTAAATTGACAGAAGTCATAAAAAACATCTAGGTATGGTGGGACATGCCTCAAACTCCAGCACTAAAGTTTGAGGCACAAAGGTTGAAAGTTTGGTGTCAGTTTGAGCTACAAAGTAAGACCCTGCCACAAAAAAATAAAAAAAACCCAAGATATAGTTAATACAGATACTACATGATATAACAAGTCTAAAAAAAGCTGAACCCCAATCAGAGAATGGAATAATTGCTACAAAAGACTGGGAACTCAAAGACGTTGTTTGAACAATATGAAAAAACACGGAGATTTTAGTGCTAGTAAAGCATGTAAAAACAATGGAAAGAGCCAGGTATGATGCTTCATACCTGCAATCTCAGCACTCTGGAGACTGAGCCTGGACTGCCATGAGCTGGAGACCAATCTAGGCTACATGATTTTCATATTAGTCTAGGTCACAAAGTGAGAATACTAAAAAAAAAAAAAAAGACAAAGGGGAGGAGAGCACACAGTGCAGAGGGGTACATGGCACAACTAATTCCAAGTGGTGAGTAAATGAGAGTTTATGTTCATTAGTTCACAACTGCCAAAATGGGACATGTACTAGACACTCAATAGAAACAACAGTTTTCAATTATATCAAACAAGAATATTTTAAAAAAGAAAACCTATTAATAGAATTTAGAAATTTATAATTGAAGTCATAAAAAATACACAAATATAGAAATATTAAAAGTTCATCTAGAAGCACCCAGGAAATCCATGTGTTGCCATCCAAAACTTCAAGACATTGAAGCAAATCCCCTATTACACATAAAGTTTGTGTTCAGTCTATAAACACATGAAATCTTACATAAAGGTTATTTACTAAACTTCGTAAGATTTTTCTCAACTGTATGATCACAAGTGAACAGAGAAATTTAAATATATGACATTTCTACATGTCTGCCATCAACACATATGGAAACATGAAAGTTTTTCATTTCCTATACTACAAATCTTGATTGAGTTCATGTATTATGAGATTTTGATCTCTCCCATGATCCTTAAACTCAGAGCATCCTTAGACTGAGTTGGTTTTACAGTAGTGACAACTGAATGCTTATATACATTGCTTATTATATTAATAAGACTTGTATAGACTGAATTCTGATTGCAAAGGATGGATCAAGGGCTTCCAAAACAATTTTCTGAATTCCTTACATTCAAAGGTCTTCCCCCCAATGGGGATTTTCATGTTCTTTAGCATCAGCAGAAGTAGTGAAGGCTTCCCCACACTCCTTATATTCATACGGTTTCTCTCCTGTATGTTTCCGTAAATGTTTATTAAGGCCTGAGTGCTCTGTAAAGGCTTTTCCACAGTACTGACATACATAGGGTTTCTCTCCAGTGTGAATTCGCATGTGAACTCGAAGGTATGAGGACCATAAAAATGACTTTCCACATATTATACACTGAAAAGGCTTCTCTCCAGTGTGAGTTCGCATGTGAACGGGAAGGTAAGAAGAACATGTAAATGTTTTCCCACATACTGTACACTGAAAGGGCTTTTCTCCAGTGTGAATTTTCAAATGCACATTAAGATAAGAAGAAGAAGCAAAGGCTTTCCCACAGTGGTCACATTCAAAGGGTTTCTCTCCTTTGTGACTTCTTATATGTGCAATAAGGCCTGAGGAAGTGCTAAAGGCTTTTCCACATTCTTGGCATGCATAGGACTTCTCCCCAGTATGATTTCGTAAATGTATAGTAAGGCCTGAACGAGCAGTGAAGTCTTTCCCACAGTAAGTGCATTTATAGGGTTTTACTCCAGTGTGAATTCGAAAGTGGGTCTCAAGGGATGAGGAGTTTCTAAAGGATTTTGTGCACACCTTACACTGAAAAGGTCTTTCGGAACTGTGAGTTTTTATGTGTACAGTAAGTTGAGCAAAACTAATAAAGCCTTTCCCACATTCCTTACATTCATAGGGCCTTTCACCAGTATGTGTTCTTATATGTTTAGTAAGGCATGAGCGCTCAGGGAAAGTTTTCCCACACTCTTTACATTCATATGGTTTCTCTCCTGTGTGAGTTCGCATATGAATACGAAGATAAGAAGATCGTGTAAATGTTTTATCACACTGGTTACACTCAAAGGGTTTTTCTCCAGTGTGAGTTCTTAAATGTCCAACAAGAGATGAGGAATGAGCCAAGGCTTTCCCACACTGATAACATTCAAAGGGCTTCTCTCCTGTATGAATTCTTATATGTTCAACAAGGCCAGAGGATGTACTGAAGGCTTTCCCACATTCCTTACACTCATAGGGCTTCTCACCATTGTGAATTAGCACATGCTTAGTAAGGCCTGAACGTGCAGTGAAGTCTTTCCCACAGAAATTACATTTATATGGTTTTATTCCAGTGTGAATTCGAAAGTGGGTCTTAAGGCATGAGGAATTTCTAAAGGTCCTTGCACATACCTTACACCGAAAGGGCTTCTCACCTGTGTGAGTTTTTATATGTTCAGTTAGTTGAGCAAAGCTGGTGAAGGCTTTCTCACATTCTGTACATGGATAGGGCCTCTCTCCAGTATGTTTTCGTAAGTGTATAGTAAGCCAAGAACGGCCACTGAACGCTTTCCCACATACTTTACATTCATAGGGTTTTTCTCCCGTGTGAGTTCGTATGTGACCTAGCAGGTAAGAGGAACGTGTAAAAGCCTTCCCACACATGTTACACTCAAAGGGCTTCTCTCCAGTATGAGTTCTCAAATGTGTAGTAAGGTAAGAAGAAGATGCAAAGGCATTCCCACACTGGTCACACTGATATGGTTTCTCTCCTGTATGACTTCTCATATGTTCTGTAAGGCGTGAGGGTTGAATAAAGGTTTTCCCACATTCCTTGCACTCATAAGACTTCTCTCGAGTGTGTTGTCGTAAATGTACAATTAAGCTTGAGCGCTCAGTGAAGGCTTTCCCACATTCCTTACAGTCGTAGGGTTTCTCCATAGTGTGGCTTTGCATATGGATATTAAGATAGATAGGATGTGTAAAGATTTTTTCACATTTTTTACATTCATAGTATTTTTTTTCAGTGGGAATTGCAACATGTTCATCATGGCTTGTAGATTGAGTAAAAGCTTGCCCACATTGCTCTGATTTGTGGAGATCCTTTTCACTATGAGCAGAACTATGTGTTTGAAGTTCTAACTGATTAACAAAAGTTTTCCCACAGACACTGCATTCAAAGGATTTTTCCAGAATGGACATTTTCTGCAAAACATCTGAAGTCAAACTGAAAGGATTTACATACTGGTTCAACTGAAAAATGTTCTCTTCAGTAGAAGTTTCTTTAAGTGATGGCAGGAAGTCTTTTCCATACAAATTACACTCTGAAGTGTTCTCTGCATTTGGAGTACTAATGTGAATCTGGGGGCATGAATCTTCACTGATAACTGTTCCAACTTGAATAGAATCACCAAACACCTCTCCATTGTGTTCCCTTCCCTATTGATAAAGAGTAAAAAGATGATTAAAAGGTTTTTCAGACTTGTATAGGAAATACCTGTGGGAATTCTGACACACTAAACTAATTTATGCTGAATGTTAGTTTACTATTGCAATCCCAACACTCTGTAGGTTGAAGCAAAAATCACAAGTGAAGGTTACTAGAGTGACAGTGAGTCCCTCTCTGATAAAAGGAGTAAGGGAAAAGGAAATGAGAAAGAAAAAGGAAGAAAAGGGAGGAACAGAAAAGAGTTTCCTTGCCTGTAATAGCTATTTCTATCAAATATCTTTCATTCAAATCTATTTTTACTAGTGAATTCCTATTCTTTTGGACAAGAAATATCCTTGTTCCCCCAAGGAATATTGTTCCTGGTAGGTCAACCATGCTCCAGTGAATGGCCCTACATAAACGAAGGAGTGATTTGGTTAGGATGTAGAGTTGGGGTAGAATAATGGAGGTGGATCTTAAGAGATTTAGGAGGAAAAGTGGGAATTGAATATTATCAAAATACATTATATAAGGTATTCTCAAATAAAAATGCTTTTAAAAGGGGGGGGAGAGAATATTCTGGGAATGGAGAGCTGGCTCAGGGGTTAAACAGCACTTGCTGCTCTTCAAAGGACCCAAGTTAGTTTCCCAGCACTCACATAGCAGCTCAAATTGTCTCTAACTCCAGTTCCTGGGAATCAGATGGCCTAGTCTGGTCTGCAAGGACACTAGAAATGCACATGATACACAGACATATTTGTAGGTATAGCACCCATAAACATAAAAGAAAATTTCATTTCTGTTAGTCTTACCAGTTGTGTTCCATTTGACATATTTGACCAAAATACATCCTGCTGAACTGCTGTCCCTTTTGTCTTAAGGTGCATTTCCCATTCTAAAGAGAAACCAGAAAACATACATAAGAATTTGGACAACAAATGAAAGGTTAAATTAAAAAAAAAAAAAAAAAAACAGCCAAAAACCCACTTCATGTGGCCAAGTGTGGTAATGCACACCTTTAAGAAGCAGAGGCAAGCAAATCTGTGAGTTCAAGGCCAGTCTGGTGTATAAAGGTGAGTTCCAGACCAGAATTTCACTTCAGTTTCTTCCGTATTAAAACACATTAAATAAGCCAGGCAGTGGTGGCACACCCCTTTATTAATCCTAGCACTCGGGAGGCATGGTAAGTGGATCTCTGTGGGTTTGAGGTCAGCCTGATATACAGAGTGAGTTCCAGAAGACAGCCAGGGATAAACAGAGAAACTCTGTCTTGAAAAACCATTAAAAAACAGACACATTAAACAATAAAGCAAAGAGATTAAAGCATCTAAGTTTAAAATTTGACAAGCATAGGATATGGTGTCTGAGCTGTAATAATTAACAAGTTTTTCTGGTAAAATTAAATGGGATGGTGAATAATCAGAGAAAGAGGGAAAAAGTAAATCACAGATGTTATACATTAGCTTTGTCTATTAAAGTTAAATTGTGTTCCAAGGACTTCAGCCTTCAGATTCAAAGTGGTCTTCTAACAGTTCCCTTGACACACTTGTAAACATATGGAACTTGACAATGACAAGAAATGTGATCAACAAATACTAACCTTGGAGAATTTCTTGCTCTGTTACTGTCAACTCTACTTTCTGCTCCAACCAAGAGATTAGGCTAGGCTTGAATAACTGACCTCCTAAACAGAGACAGATACATCAACAGAAAAGTCTCAGAGCTACAGGGCTAAAAGTGAGATCTGTCTCAAGAAACCAAAAAATGGCTGAGGATATAGTTCAGTAGTAGAGCACTTGCCTAGACTATATAAGGTCCTAAATTCAATCCCCACTACTACCAATATTATTAATGACATGCAATATTCCTAGGCCTTCATTATTAATGAAAATTCTATCTTTAAGAAATGTAAAATAAAATACACTAAACTATTTCTTCCAATAAGATTTAGAATTAAGTAATGCAAGTGTTATAAAGTTACTACCACCCACATTCCCCAGAGATGCAGATCAAACCAAAGGCCTCATATGTCAAAACAAATACTCTACCACAAAGAAACATACCCAGCCAACAGGTCTTCATTCTTATATAGAAAAAATGATAGCACTAGTCCTTGTCTTTAGAAACAGATTCATAAAGATTGTTAAAAAAAACAAGTTTTTATTCAGGATGGTTTCTTTAAGTGCCATACACTTGCCTGCGAATTTCAAGATACCATTATTTTACTCTGCAGAGTAGTATTCCATTGTGTTGATGTGCCACATCTTCATTAACCATTCTTCAATTGAGGGGCATCTAGGTTGCTTCCAGGTTCTTGCTATTACAGATAGTGCTGCTATGAACATAGTTGAACAGATGTCTTTGTTGCATGGATGTGAATCCTTTGGGTATATGCCTAAGAGGGGGATTGCTGGGTCCTGTGGTAAACTAATTCCCATTTTCCTGAGGAACCGCCATACTGATCTCCAAAATGGCTGTATGAGTTTGCACTCCCACCAGAAGTGGAGGAGTGTTCCCTTTCTCCACATCCTCTCCAACATAAGTCATCATTGGTGTTTCTAATTTTAGCCATTCTGGCAGGGGTAAGATGGTATCTCAAAGTTGTTTTGATTTGCATTTCCCTGATAGCTAAGGATGTGGAGCACTTAAGTGTCTTTTAGCCTTTTTGAATTCCTCTGTTGAGAATTCTTTCTTCAGTTCTGTACCCTATTTGGTGTTTTGATGACTAGTTTCTTGAGTTCTTTGTTTATTTTGGAGATCAGCCCTTTGTCAGATGTAGGATTGGTGAAAATCTTTTCCCAGTCTGTGGGCTGCCATTTGGTCTTGTCCACTGTGTCCTTTGCCTTACAGAAGCTTCTAAGTTTGAAGAGGTCCCATTTATTAATTGTTTCTCTCAGTGTCTGTGCCCCTGGAGTTATGTTCAGGAAGCGGTCTCCTATACCAATTTGTTCAAGGGTACCTCCTACTTTCTCTTCTAAGATGTTCAATGTGGCTGGATTAATGTTGAGGTCTTTGATCCATTTGAACTTGAGTTTGTGCATGGCGACAGACATGGGTCTATCTGCAGTCTTCTACACACCCTCATCCAATTGTGCCAAGCACCATTTGTTGAAGATGCTGTCCTCGCCCCATTGTATAATTTTAGCTGTTTTGTCAAAAATCAGGTGTTCATAGGTGTGTGGGTTAATAATCTTGAAATCCACTGGCAAGTGGATGGCACTTGAAGAAACAATCCTGAATGAGGTAACCCAGTCACTAAAAGAGGAACACAGTATGTACTCACTCATATATGGATTTTAGACCTAGATCAAAGGATCAGCAGGCTATAATTCACACCACCAGAGGAACTAGGATACAAGGTGTATTCTAAGAGATTCATATAAAGTCCCTCACAGAACCGGGAAGGGACAAGTCCCCCAGAGCACAGGGGAAGTGGGGGAGGGGGAGCAGTGAATGGAGAGAGAAGTAGAAGAAAACTAGGGGGAGGAAAGGAAAACATGTGCGACCAGGAAGACTAAGCCCGGTTAGGAATTGAAGACAGGAGAGAGAGAGAGAGAGAGACAGAGCATAAAAGAGGGAGCCAATATTGGTTTGAAGATAAAATTGAACACAAAGAAAGTAACTATTTGAGCTTCCGTGGAAAGACTACCATAAATGCCCTTCCCGAAGAGTGAGATCAACAACTAACTTCTCCATGAAGCCCTCATCTAATGCCTGTTGGAAACAGGCGCAAACACCCATACATAAACATTGAGTCGAACTAGAACCCAGATGCAGATGGAGAAGACAAGACCAGGCGGCAGAAACACACAGAGACAGCTTACCTGAGCAAGGAGGAGCTAACAGGCCACCAGACTGATAGCTGGGAAGCCAGCATGGGACTGACTCAGGCCCCCCTGAATATGGGTCTCAGCCAGAAGGACTGAGCAATCTAAGGGACCTCAGACAGTGGAGCCAGGATGTATCCCTGGTGCACAAAAGGACTTTGCGAACACATCCCCCATGGAGGGATAACTGCCTTAACCCAGAGACAGGAGAGAAGCCCTAGTCCCTACTTCACATGACCTGTCAGATCTACATGACCCCAACTGGATGGCATTCCCCTACATATGGAATTGGGGTGGGGGGGATAGGAGGGGAAGGTGGTTAGAGTGCATGTGAGAGGGCAGAGAGGGTAAAAGAGAGGGAGGGAGGGAGGGAGGGAGGGAAGGGGGGAGGGAGGGAGGGAGAGGGAACTGGGATAGACATGTAAAATAATAAATTAAATTTAAAAAAAAAATGCTTTGACTCCAAAATTTAAGTTGAAGGACAAGTTACTGGGGAAAAGGATTTCTATTTTTGTTTCCACAGAAATTGAAAAGCTGTGGATTCATTCCAGACTAATGTGGTTTGATCAAGCCAGACCGCCTGAAACAGAGTACCAGGTGATCCTACATTCAAAACAGCTGGACAAAGCAGCCTTACAGACTACAGCCAGGATTTCTTCATCTTCTTCGTATCCCCCATGACAGCGCCCCTTTCCAGCAGGAAGTAGTTTGGAAAGAACAACACCCAAATTCCCAAATATTGTCTATAAATGTTTGTTTTCATTTAAATGGACTTTGTTATATAAAATAAATTTTTAACAAAACAAAACCCAAAAAAAAAAAAAAAAAAAAAAAAAAAACAAACAAGTTCTCCAGAGCACATGGGGAGTGGGGGGGGGGGGGGCAGTGGGTAGAGAGGGAACTAGGATAAAGAGAAGGGGAGGAGAAGAAAGAACGTGGGACTAGGAAGATTGAGTCAGGGGAGAAATAGAAGACAGAAGAGCGAGAGAGAGGGAGAGAAAACATAAAAGGAGCCATTATAGGATTAAAGAGAAAAACTGAACCTAAAGAAATGTCCAGAGACCTACAAGACTGACTCCAACTAACAATTTGAGCAACAGTGGAAAGGCTAACTTATCCACCATCATGGAGCCCTCATCTAGTACCTGTTGGAAACAGAAGCAAACACCCACAACTAAACACTGAGCCAAACTGGAATCCAGATGCAGAGAGAGAGGACAAGACCTCGCTGCAGAAACAGAGACAGCTGACCTGAACAAGGAGAAGCTAACACCCCCCCCCCCCAGACTGATAGCTGGGAATCCAGCATGGGACTGACTCAGGCCCCCTGAACATGGGTCTCAGCTAGGACAGTGGAACCAGGATGTATTTCTGGTGCACAAAATGACTTTGTGGGCACATCCCCCATGGAGGGATACTCCCTTAACCTAGAGACAGGAGAGAAGTCCTAGTCCCTACCTCAAATGACTTGACAGAATTAGATGACCCCTCCTAGATGGCATCACCCTACATGTGGGGGGTGGGAGGGGTGCATGTGATGGGGGGAGCGAGGGAAAGAGGGAGTGAGGGAGGAAGGGAGGGAGGATGAAGGAACTGGGCTCGATATGTAAAAAATAAATAAGTTAAAAAAAAAAAAAAACAATGCAGGTATGATATCGCACATCTGTAATCCCAGCTCTCAGAAGACTGAGACAGGAGAATGCTGACAGCACAGTCAGCCTTATAGAGTAAGACCCTGCCACAAAACGAAAACAAATCAAAAAGGAAAAAGAGTCTCAAAATAACACCATTAGTATAAGTGATGCTACTAAGAACTACCAAGATGGAATAATTATATTAAGAAAGGAATTTAATCTACTATTTTCCACTATTCTCTGAGCAGACATCACATTCTAGAACACTATTTCTGTTATCTTATGAAGCTTGAACAAATGATGACAGTCTTACCTACTGTGGCCAGGTTCTGGTAGTTCTCCAGCATCACATCTCTGTAGAGGTTTCTCTGAATTGGATCCAGTGAAGTCCATTCTTCCTGGGTAAAGTCCACGGTCACATCTTCAAAGGTTACTGCATCCTAAACATCACATAAATGCCAGCCAGCTTAAGCAAAGTAAACATCACCCATGCTCACTACAGAATGAGGAAGTAACAACCATGCCTATAAAGAAGTCCCAATAATGTCTCAAGACTCAGTATTTCTAGAACATCTCTCAACCCACACTCTGTTCAACTTCTATACTCATTGGTTTCAGCACCTCTTATAAATAAACTTACATCATCAAAACCATGCAAGGGACTTTATTCATCCTACTCCCCCAGTGTTATGACACACTCTCAAGAATATTTCAAACTTGTTATGAGATTATAAGTGAATTTACTTACTTAAAAGTGGAAATTTCCATCTTTATCATTTGTTAGAACACATAAAATATAAATATTTAACCAATAATAAAAGTCAACACACATGATTGCTAAAATATTGAAATAATTTTCAGAGTAATCACTCACCTAAAAAAGACATGTACCTTTGGGAAAAATTCAACTAGGGATTCAGTCATGGCATAGGTTTTTGGTTTGCTGTTTTGTTTTGCTGTGAGGACAAGTCTACCTATGAGAAAATGTCTTCTTGGACAGTTTCATATTAGCTTTGGATCCCCTCAATATACCTCTTCAGAATACATGATAAGAGATCATTCCTACTACCAAGAAACCCATTTCTCTTCATGTCCTGACTTTCTATTTAAAAAAATAAAAAAGATTGTCAGGACTGGAGAGATGGCTCAGAGATTAAGAGCACTGGCTATTCTTCCAGAGGTCCTGAGTTCAGTTCCCAGCAACCACATGGTGGCTCACAACCATCTATCATGAGATCTGTTGCCCTCTTCTGGCATACAGGTAGATATGCAGACAGAACACTGTATATGTAATAAAAATAAGTAAATAAATTAAAAAAGAAAAGAACTGTACTTTTTGTTGAACTTACCACTTGCTGTGTCTCCATGAAGCTATGTCTTGTCAAAAAATCCTGCTCTAGTGCTAAATCTTTGGTGTGTCGTTGTTTTTCCACTTCTGGAATTAAACCCAAAAATTTAATAACAGACAGTATAGCAAAGGAGTTAAAAATGGCACCATGGTTTTCTAAATAAACCTGGTAAGAGGAAAATTTGTTAAATATTAAATTCTGTCAAAAGTAATACATGGTAAAAATGTCACTAGAAAGAAAAGGGAAAAAGTATCATGAAAGTACATCACAGTATGGTGACACATACCTGCAATCCCAGCACACACAAATCTAAGGCTAGAGAATCAACTATTTAATACTACACCATAATGAAAAGAAAAAGGGAGGGAGGGAGAATTTGAGGAAAAACTCAGGATATATAATTGAGACTTCTACTACCACAGAAGAGAGAGAGAGAGATGGAAAAAATACTGTGAACAGCTTATGTTGGAGAGGATGTGAAATCAAGGGAACACTCCTCCATTGCTGGTGGGAGTGCAAACTTGTACAGCCATTTTGGAAACGAGTATGGCAGGGAATCAGTATATCTCAAGATCCAGCAATACCTCTTGGGCATTTACCCAAAGGACACAGAATCATACCACAAATACATTTGCTCAACAGTGTTCATAGCAGCATTATTCGTAACAGCCAAAACCTGGAAACAACCTAGATGCCCCTCAACTGAAGACTGGATAAGGAAAATGTGGTACATTTACACAATGGAGTACTACTCAGCAGTAAAAAAAAAAATGATGACCTCATTTTGCAGGCAAATGGATGGAACTAGAAAAACCATCCTGAGTGAGGTAACCCAGACTCAGAAAGACAAACACTGTATGTACTCCCTCACAAATGGATATTAGATGTAAAGCAAAGGTAACCAGACTAAAATCCACAGCTCCAGAGAAGCTAGGTAACAGAGGACCCTAAGAAGAACGCATGGGATTACCCTGAGAAGGGAAATTAAATGAGATCTACAGGGCAAACGGGTGGGGGGGGGTGTCAGGGGGGGGGGGGATAAGGGAGTAAGGGAGGAGAGAAGGAGGGTTGAGAACAGGACAGAATGAGATGGCCTAGGCAGGAAGGGATGTAGTGCTAGAGCAATGAAAAAGATAACTTAATAGAGGGAGCCACTATGGGCTTAGGGAGAAACCTTGTGCTAGGGTAATTCCCAAGAATCCACAAGGAATACCCCAATTAAGGCTCCTAGTAATAATGGAAAGGATGCCCGAACTGTCCTAACCCTGTAATCAGATTGAGGAATACCCCAACTATCATCATAGAGCTTTCATCCAATAACTGATGAAAGCAAATGCAGAGATCCATAACTAAGAACCAGGCCAAGCTCTAGGAATCCATTCAAAGAGAGGGAGAAGGAAATATATGATCAAGGGAGATCAAACTCATAATAGAGAAATCTACAGAGACACCTGGACCAAGCTCATGAAAACTCATCAACTTTAAACTGGCAGCAGTAGACACTACAGGGGACTGAACTAGGCCCTCCATATGTGGCAGGCAATTATGAAGCTAGGAATAGCTGAAGGGCCCTACCAGTAGGACCAGAATACAAACCTGGTACATGAGCTAGCTTGTTATAGCCCATTCCTTAGGGTGAGAGGCTCAGAGGCAGTAGGACCATGATATAATCCCAGTACATAATCTAGCTTGTTAGAGCCCATTCCCCACGGTGGGATGCCATGCTCAGCCTTAATGCCTGGCCCTGCCCCAACCTATTGTGCCAGACTATGTTGACTCCTCATGGGAGCTCTTACCCATGAGGAGTGGGCTGGTGGTAGGCTTGGGGGGGGGGGGCAAGGGAAGGTGGGAGGAGGTGGGGAGGCAGGAGAAAGGATGGGAGGGAGAATTGTGGTTAGAATGTAAAATGAAATTTAAAAAAATTTTAAATGGCAAATAAAAAGACAGAAAAGTACATAAAACAATGAGCTTGGTACTCCAGAAGGCAGACAGAGGCAAATGAATCTGAGCTCAAGGCCAGCCTGATATACAAAGCAAGTTCCAGGCCAGTCAGGAACATACAGTAACTCAAAAAAAAAAAAAAAAAAAAAAAAAAAAAAAGCAAAAGATAATGAACTTGAAACATAAAATGCTATCTCATGAGATCACAAAATTTTTGGAGAGACAAAAAGGACAGGAGAGTTGATGAAGATGCATGCCACTGGTCAAAGCTGTTCTTTACTAACATTTACCTTGAAGAAGTCCTCTCTGTGTGGTCACCAATTCTTCTTTCAAGCAAGTGAAAGCATTGGATTTGGAAAGTGTCTGACATCCTATACATAAACAAAGTTGCATTAATAGAAGATGACAAACTTTTATGTAATTCAGGTCTATAATACATTTGCCCCCAACACAGGCTATCAGGTAACCCAGACTAACCCCTAAAACTTGCAAACCTACTGCAATTATGGGCATACACAATCAAACTGAGCTTTTGGTCTACAATTCTAATAAAAGCAGAAATTATTTCAAAAGTACTAAGAAGACAAAGCTTTAGCCCATGATCCCAAGCATCTCTGATTACTGAAATAGAAATCAATTTCTAGCATTTTAATCAAACAGATAAATAAATCACAACAATACCTGCTAGGCAATAAAGTAAACCATTTTAACTTATAAATATCATAGTTGATCTAATTCAGATAGAGTCATAAGACAAACAGAACATTATCAAAGGTGGAAACAAGAACATACATTTCAACAGAACCAGGTAATACACATTTTAAGAACCACCACAGGTCACTGAGATAGTTCATCAGGTCAAAAAATATTTCCCTCTCTCTTCTGTCTTCTATTCCTAACCTGACTCAATCTTCCTAGTCACACGTGCTTTCCTCTCCTCCCCTTCTCTTTCTCCCACTTCTTTCTCTATTCACTGCCCCCCCCCCACTTCCCATGTGCCCTGGGAGACTTGTCCCTTCCCCCTTCTGTGAGGTACCTTATTATGAATCTATTAGAATACATCTTGTATCCTAGTTCCTCTGGTGGTGTGAATTATAGGCTGGTGATCCTTTGCTCTAATTATGGTGGGGGGGTGGGAGGGGAGGGGAGAGTGGTCAGGGTGCATGTGAGGGGGCAGAGAGGGTAAGAGGGAGGGAGGGAAGGGAGAGAGGGAGGACTAGGATCGACATGTAAAAACTAAATTAAAAAAAATTAATTTTATGAAAAAAAATATTTCTCACATAACACTGACAACCTTTCCAAGGTCTGCCTACAGGTTCCTGTGTTGGCTGCCCTTGATGATAAACTATAACCTGTAAGCCAAATAAACTTTTTCCTCTCCAAGTTGCTTATTTACTCTGTGTTTTATTACAGCAACAGAAAACAAACCAGGACACCATATATTAAAATGTCAGATGCAATGGCACACATCAGTAACCCTAGTCCCAGTACTCCTACAGATGAGAAGGAGAAACAGGAGAACTGGGCAGAAGTGAAGTATGAACCTTCCTACCACAAACCAAGAGCAGAGAACTCGCTCCCTCAAGTTGTCCTCTGATTTCCACATAAGTGCTGTTGGCACATATGCACCTGCACTCACACACATAAAACAATAAGCATAAATCTTTTGTTTTTGTTTTTCTAGACAGGATTCCCGAGTAGCCCTGGGTTGTCCTGCTTGTCTGTAAACCAGGCTGGCCTCAAATCAGAGATTCGACTGCCTCTTCAGTGTAATTTCATCACCACCCTAAATCTTAAAAAAATAACCTATAGTGTACTAGGTATGAGCTCAGTAATGAAGCACACATATAACATTTATGAGGCATTGACATTTGGAATGCATACCCCATTAAACTAACATAATATGTTTAAATATGTTAGAAGAGAAACTGCTATCACTGTTATCAGATTTGACAAATGTCCTAAACACGGTAAGTACATATTATGTCCCTGCTCCACATGAAGCATGTCATATGAAAGCATGTCATATGATAATAACTACCAACTTACCTACAGAGGCCAGGTTTTTATTGTCCTCCACTGTCACATCACTAGGTATGTTGTTCTGAGTTGGATCCTTTGTAGTCCACTCTTCTTGTGTAAAATCCTCAGCCTGAAAGATCACCAAATCCTAAACCACCCATACATGCTTGTTTCAACCAAGTTAATATCCCCACCAATCCTCTCAGGAGACTAAGGAAACCTATACCTACAGAGAGCTGCAAGTTCTCACATTAACTACCCTGGGATTCAATGGCCCTAGACTAGGCGCCTCTGTATTCACTCACACTCTGTCCATCTACTCCTGTTTTCACCTCACCACACACTGACCTTTCTCATCTTCGCTCTTTTCAATAATACTCCTGGACATACTGTATAAATGGGGCAAATATGAAAATAACAAAGTCTTTGAGAAAATACTTTTGCTTTCTTACTGTTTTTCAGAGCAATGTAAAAGACAAACTGGCATTTGGCACCACAGGGTCTAGATTATAATAACACAACATTACAGCAGTGTAAAAAAGCTCTTCTCTCTGGAGACAAGTTGGTCTGCATGGAAAGATGTATACCTCTATATGCAATGAGATCAATTTGTGGAAATTCTTCATACCTTATTACACTTTTTCAGGCAAGCAACCAGTGTGCTTTCTCCCTCTGTTTCTTCTGCTTGACTGCAGACTTGGTCACCAGAAAGCAGACTTCCTGGAAAAAAAGATACAAAAATCCAGAGCTGCCAAAAAGCCCACATTCACTGTGAGGATGGGAGTTCATCTGTTTGCAATTAATACATAACTCAGTTCACTCAGATAATATTGCAAATATAATTCTAGCAACCTACACAACAATTTTTACAGTAGGAAGACACAATGGTGAACTGTCTTGGCAGTCAAGAAAAATACATTACTTTTGCTTTAAAGCCAAGGAAATGTTAAGTTCTGAGAAATATAACTCTGAATTTGTCTATAATGACAAGAATCAGTAATGATTTATGCAGTGCCTGTTCCCAAGCACATACTAGAAGGCTGATATATAAAACATCCCTCTTTGGACTACCTCTACACTCCATAACAGACTGGCAGACCTCTAGCTCTACAATGTGTAGAAGGGACCTACAACAGATTCTCTCAAAAACAGTAGCAACAGAACTTACCACAGGACAAATTGCTAATGTCCATGTTTTGAGTCTGATGGTAAAATGTGTAATCAAATTCTTCTGTGACTCCAAGGACACATCAGTGAAATTTATGCATCAAAGTGGAAAATGACAATATTCGTTTCTCTTTAATCTGCAGGATTCAGATTCCTATTGACATCAATCAAAAAACAGCACTTAGAAGTCATCAAATACCATATACTAGCGCTGCGGGTGAGATTATGAAAACCAATAAAAACGCACACCTTATAATATAGGTTCATTAGCAGCACCTGTACTGACTGAGGAAGAGTATGTATATGTTGTAATTTGAATAAAAAATGACCTCCATAGGCTCATGTATCTGAATGCTGGTTCCCAGCTGGAAATCATGTTTAGAAAAATTATGGTATCTGTAGGAGGTAGATCCTTGCTTGAAAATACACAACACTCAGGGTGGCCTCAAGGCTTTATAAGACTCATCATCTGTGTAGAGATGAAAATGTGATCTATCTACTTCAGGGTCCTGTAGTGGGATAGTCATTTTGTCTCCTCTGTGGCACTGACCACGACCATTGGGGGTGAAGCCAGGGGCAGAAGTGATCCTGGGAACTAGGTCTGAGGAGGAGCCAGGGAACACTCTCTTGCTGGCGGGACAGGGAAAGAAGAACATCTGGTGGTAATTGCTGGTGTTCATCTGTCTAGGCTGTAAGTTATTTCTCCCTGAATAAACATCTTTTCGGCCTATTTGTTTATCCTGATCCTTATTAAACGGTGATATCTGGTGTCAGAAACCGGATCAGGATTTTCACGGGACCTGGTTTTCACCCAGGTGGCAGAAGCCATTCCCTTCCCCCACCATCTCTGTACAGGCGGTTGCCTTGCCTAACCAGGCAGACACACCACAGCTTGTGAGACATTTGTGTCTACCCTACAACCCCAATGCAGCCCTGAGACCACTGCTCATCTCCTGCCCATCCCCTCACATTGCATTCGCAAAGAGCCCTGCTGCACCAGCACTGCTCTTGTGTTGCTGCCCACGGTCCAAACTCTGGGCCTGCCCTGCTTGTGTGTTCCTGCGGCAGGCGACTCCTGTTAGCCCTGCGGTCCCAGCAATTTGCACAAGGCTCATTTCACTCCTTTATTTTACAAAATTTTGCTTGACTTAGTTTGTTAAGAGCTATTCGTCAGGGACCGGGATCAGAAGGATTGGCTGTTGCCTGACACTATTTGGTGGTACACTTCCAGACAGAACCAATATCAGGCGGATCCTCTGCTGCATGACGCACCTCCAGGTGTAACTACCACAAGTTGAGATCTACAACTAAAAGCATCAAAGTTCCAGGACAAGAATTACGCCTAAGGTAATTGTACCATCCTTTGCAATTTAAGCTGATAAAATATATGAGATCAATTGTTCCATACCTGTGGCACATAACTTTACAATGCAGGACTTTAGGAATTCTTTTACTTCATATATAGAAGAATTTTAGCAGAATAAAATTATAAATGGACCAATATGTACATTTATTTTGTAGTAGCGATGGGTTTCATCATTAACATGATATTCTTAAAGAAATGGTTTGAGATTACAGCAAACAATAAAGAACTTGTACAAACCATAGTAACAAGGATTCAAAACACTGAAAATGATAGAACGCAAACCATAGAATGCTTAGAAAAAAAAGGCTCAGAATATTGAAGATGGCATTAGAGAGCTGACAGGTAGAATACAAAACATGGAACATAAAAATGACCAAGTAGAAAACAGGATTTTTTCCGTGTCTGATGCCTCAATAACCAAAACAGAAACAATGTAATACATTAGTGCGCTACCAGAAACAGCTGGTTCCTGGTCGGAGGAAGCTACTAATAAGTTTAAAAACTGGAACAACAGATGGAGAGATTAGATGGTAGACTCTCTTCCAGGTCTGAGGATAATGACAAGCTAGCAGATAGAACATTGTTTCTGGAAGGCAGTTTACATGCCATCTCATCTAAGGATGAGAATATTAAAAACATGGAATCATTTGTAGTTGGAGAAAGAAAGAAACTGACTGATGCAATGAAGGCTCTAGAAAGTTATTTGATTCAAGAAGTTTAGACACTCAAAGAAGCAAATAGATTTCAGGCCTTAGAAGACGTTCAATATGATACATCAGAATAAGAGCTACAGGTAACAGGGCATGAAAAAAGACTTAAAATTTTCCACAACATTTAGGGTCAGGGGAGCTTTCCCTGTATCTATTAATGAAAAACTAGCAACGAAAAAAACACAAAAGGTGTCATGCATATCAGTGGGAAACAATATGTATGAAAGATTTTAAAAGTATAAAGGAAGCAGTAGTCTCTTATGGCATGCACTCACCATATGTGAAGCAATTAGTAGAATCATGGGCAAAGTAACCCCTAAGGATTGGGATCAATTAATATCAGCTGTCCTTGAAAACTCCTCTCAATTAGAATGGAGGGCTTTATGGAGAGAGGAAGCTAAAGCTCTTGAACGTCAGGGCTTAAAGAAAGGTTATAAAGCTCCCCAAGATAAAATTCTTGGTGAGGGTCTTTATGCTGACCCAGAAACCCAAGCCGCCTATGAAGAACATATATTGTCTCTATGCAGTACAAAAGCTTGAATACTAGGAATAAGGTTCATGAATTAGGGGAGAGGATAGAATCCTATGCCAAGATAAGGCAAGGACCTAGAGAATGCTTTAATGTGTTTCTAGAAAGATTACCTAGGGCAGTACAATTAGAGGTAGCAGACATAGATTCTATGCAAATACTCATAGAATCATTACCTTGTGAGAATGTGAATCCTCAAAGCAAACAAGTGCTTTGGCCTTTAAAAATGAGATCAGCACCCTTGGATGAATGGGTCCTATATACAGCCAACATTGAGTATAATGACAATAAGACTGAAGCATGGGTAGGAGAAGCCATATCTAAAGGTCTGAGAAAATATCAAGATAACAGAGGTCTTAACTATGATAACATAGAAGCGTGGGTAGGAGAAGCCATCTCCAAAGGTTTGAAGAGATATCAATATGTCAGATGTTATAACTGTGGTAAGATAGGACATCTAAAAAGAAATTGTAGCCAAAGCATTTCTAGAAATAACACTCCCAGGAATGAATCAAACAGGAGGCCTCAGCCTTCTGGGTTATGTGGAAAGTGTGGCAAACGCTGACACTGAACAAATGAGTGTAGATCAACCAGAGACAAGCAAAGAAGCCCTTTACCATCAGGAAACTCCTTGGGGGGGGGAGCTCTTAAAGGCCCCCACATCAAAGGTGGTCCGAAAATTCCTAGTCACAGTGGAGGACAATCTACCATAGGACAATCAGGAAATCCTGTGCCTACTGTAAAAACTCATACCGCTCTGGATGACAAACTAGTGACAGAAGTTGAATCAAACATGACTGAAGGAAATAAAAAAACGTATATTTTGGCAAACCTCTATAAACAGTCAAAGGCCTAGATAGATAGTTAAGATGAATAAGACTGTTTGAAAGGATATTTGACACAGGGGCTGACATAACTATCATAACTAATAAATCTTGGCCTCGAAGATGGCCTCTGCACGAGGTAAATGTTCAATTCTTACGGATTGGAACCCTGTCTCAGGTAAAACAGAGCACGAGATGGATTGAATGTGTAGGACCAGAAGGACAGAGAGGAAGGTTGAGGCTGATGTAGTGATAAATTTATGAGGTCATGATCTATTACAGCAATGGAATAAACAGATTAACATTCCTCCAGTATTAGATTGGAACCATAAAGAACCTCATGATTGAGGAAAAAATATTATAAAGTACTATACAAGACAAAATATCCAGGCTGCACAAAAACAGAATACAAGTGCTAGACATATCGAGAAATCAACCAGCCCTTGGAATTCTCCTGTATTTGTTATCCCAAAGAAATCTGGTAAATGAAGAATGCTTACAGACGTGAGAGCCATCAATAAAGTTATCCAGCCAATGGGCTCTCTACAGCCTGGAATACCCTTGCCTTCTTTGATACCTAAAGAATGGATTGCTTCTTCACTATATCTTTATACAAGATAAAGAGAAATTTGCCTTCATGGTACCTAATTACAATAATTCTCAACCGATAAATGCTAAATAGCCACACCCTGTACCAATATTTTGTACAAAAACCACTAGAAATAATTCGTAAACAGTTTCCGCAATCCATATTCTATCATTACATGGATAGACATTGTTAGCTGACTCTAAAGGAGAAACATTTTTTTCTAATGTTTGAGAAAGTAAAGGAAGTTTTACCTCGCTGGGGATTACAAATTGCACCTGAAAAAATACAAAAAGGAGAGTCTATCAACTACTTAGGATATAAAATAGGTCTACAAAAAATTAGACACAAAAAGTACAGATCAGGAGAGATCGCTATCAGACTCTTAATGATCTTCAAAAATTACTAGGAGAGATTTCTCAACTGCAAACCATTATTGGAGAAGAAGGGCATGATTTGAAAAAACTTGAAAATGGCCCTAAAAGGAGACAAGGACTTGAATAATCCACAAATACTATCAGCTGAAGCTGAAAAGGAATTAGAATGGGTAGAAAAGAGGATAATAGAAGCACATGTGGACCGAGTGGATCCAAACCTAGACTGTATTCTGGTTATATTGCTATATAGAGAGTATCCTTCAGGGATTTTGATGCAGAGAGAAGATATCATATTAGAATAGATATTCCTACCACATAAACAGACTAAAAAACTAAAAACATATATAGAAAAGATCTCTGACTTGATTATAAAAGGTAAACTAAGACTTTGTCACCTAAAAGGGAGGGACCCAGCAGAAATTATAGTACCTTTAACTAATGAGGAAATTCCCTCCTTACAGAGAGATAATGGATATTGGCAGAGAGCATGCAGTAATTTTTTGGGAATGATTAGCAACACTTATTCCAAAAGTGAAAGAATCAAATTCATAAAAAAAGAAAATGATTTGGATCTTTCCACGCATTGTGAGAAAAACCCTATTTCTGGAGTTCCTACATTCTACATTGATGCAAACAAATCAGGTAAGGCAGGATATAAATCAGGAAAAATTAGTGAAGTGGTTCAAAGCCCTTACAATTCTGTACAAAGGCAGAATTGTATGCCATTCTCATGGTACTTGTGGATTTTACAGAACCCCTC